GGCAGATGACCGTAAAAATGTTGTGGTGTGGGCCACAACATTTCCAGACATGGAAGAACCCTCCGAATAGAAAATCTTAAAATACATCAGAAGGATGATTCCCAAAGGAAACATACAAAACACAAATTTTTTGTTTTTATTTTAAGCTACAACTTTAGGTTTGTTTTCTGCATGATTGTCCAGACTTATTGCAAATATATTACATGCCTCTTTGCATATTTACAATAACCTACATGTCACCTACAAAAATGGTAACTGAAGCAAACACATTCCATGTTTTTACATGCAAAGAGAGACATGAAACACATGAAACTAAAAACTCACTATAAACTAACTATACAAGTCCGATGGCAATTTAAAAAAGGTTGAGCTGAACTCATCAAAAGTCTTGGTTGGAAAACTGAAAAACAAATAGTTTCATAATGAAAATACTGGATTGTTAGGGGTCACTATATGACTTTACATGCCGAATTCCATGTAATAAAACCTATGCCCATGCTAATGGTCTTCAGGTGACGATAGTATGACAATGAAGCTGATTTTAAGTCATTTTTAGCAAAACTTTTAACACATTAAACCACCGATTAGAGTTCCTCTTTCTAATTTTCCCTTTTCTCCCCTTTGTTTCCATCTTTCTACCCCAGCTTCCTCTGCGGTGCATCTTGTTTCAGTGTGCTGAGGAAGTCGATCAATCCCTGGTGAAATTCTCTGGGTTTGTCCATGTAGCAGGCATGACGAGCTCCTTCTAACTTGAGCACAAAGTGCTTTGGGAGTTGTATGAGGTTCTTGTGGGACTGGGCCCCCAGATTTGTGTCCAGGGCTCCAAACACGATCAGAGTGGGAGTCTGGAGGAAGAAGCACACAGGACTGAGGAGTTTTCATATAAACATCAACCTGTAAACAGCTTTCTGAGGATTGTCATTACCTCTGAAACTGGACAAATTGTTGTCGTCTCTTGTATAGCACTCACATAAAAGCTACTGATGCTGACTTTAGACACAGATTTATGGCAAAATGTCAAATTCACATCATGATGATGCAACATAAATAGTCAAGATTTGTTGAGGTAAAGAGAACTGAAGCTTTTGATATTTTCTTCTTTCACTTTATTTATTTTTTTGAAAATAAATGTTTCTAGCAAAAACAACCATTTCATCGTTCCAGGTTCTCAAATGTGAGGCTTTTCTGCTTTCTGGTTGTTTTACATTTTAGACATGAACTCCGGTGGATATCCACAGAATTGGATCTGGAATCTTTTTAAACTGTTAGCTGGACAAAACAAGCAATGTCAAAACATCCCTTTTTTCAAGAAATATTTTTGAGCTATTTTTCAGACATTTTATAAACCTTACAGTTAAACTTGAAAAATAAATGGCTGATTGAAAGTGAAAATATCTGTGAATTGTGGCCCTGTTGTTTCAGCCCTACAGACTTTGATTTTGATGATTGATTTTGATTGTGTCTAATTTGTATGTTGCACACACAAGGCACAGAGATTAGGAAGACCAGTGGTTCAACCATACACTCAATACAAAGATGGACATTCAACAAGGCCTCACAGTTCATTCACGTTTGAGAGCCCCCTAGTGGATTGATCAGGTCATGCCTGAGTGGTATGGATGATTCCTCATTTAAAACACAGTTGAGATATCATGGTGTTATTGAGAAACACCAGTGAAATCTGTTTACTCAAATAAGAAAAGCTTTCTTTATTTAATATATTTATCAACACATGATGTATTCTTCCCTCACCTCAATACTTTGGTACTGCTTTGGAGTGTAGCTCCGAGTACCAACTGGGGCTATGGGGATGAAGCCATGTAGCTGAGCGCTGTTCTTCATGAAGAAGGGAATGGAGTAATGTCCACTCATGGAGGGGCTCAAAAGCACAGCTGCCCTGACACCCAATGACTCCATGAACCTTGAAAGAAGGTCCACTCGATTCTGGTCAGTCTTCAGAGCCTCTGAGTCCGGGGATTTTCCGTATCCTTAAAGAAGAGGAAGAATTTATATCTATTTTTTATTTCATTTTTCAAAAATACATATATTTTTTATTTTGCAACAGGATTAGTGACAACATCAAATACTGAGTCTCAAAGACATCCCTTATCGGCAGAGATAATTATTTTCAAATAAATACGAATACAAGCTGTGAGTGCTCAGATTTCAAGACAAAAAAGACATTTACGCCGGTGTGTGTGAATGCGCTCGGTTTGGCTTGATGCGGTTGGCGCAGTGAGCAGCGTGAATGATAGAGACACAGAGAGGAGCAGTACATTACTGACAGAGCCCCTAAAAAAAGTTTTAAAAAAAAAACATTTCATGGTCCACACATGTATGAAAAGACCCAAAATGAAAACTGTGTGGACTCAGTGGAGCTGTGCATGGCTCCCTGGGTGTTTGCCCCGGACTTGGTGGCGCTGCGGCCGGGCTGTGCGCCCTCTCCCTCGCGCTGTGGAGCTGCCAGTGGTCCCTGCGTCCGTAGCCAGGTGGAATGTTTTCAATAAAACAATGTTGTTGGAATGGAAATAATGCATTTCATCTTTTTCAGTGTCTGCATAGACCACTTACTATATAGGGTCTATGTTACCAGCGAACCCAGAATGACTTTCACACTGTATACTTAAACATGTGTTTATTTATCACAAGTCACATAGTCATCGCAATATTCAACAATGTTATCGCATATCGCACATTTTCCTAATATCGTGCAGCCCTGTATATGATAATTTATAATTTAATCCAGTTTTATAGTAATATGGTTGCAGTCATTAGGATGATTGTTGATTATGTGTTTAAAACCTCAGTTCTACCTGGCAGGTCCATCGCCAAGGCCTGATATCCATTTGTTGCCAGCAGAGCCATTGTGCCCAGCTCCTCCCAGGTTTTGGATGTGAAGGCCTGGCCGTGCAGGAGGACCACTTGCAGCCTACACAAAGAAATAACATAAACTCACTTAACAACACAAGCACAGACCAGGAAAATATGGCATGTTAGAGCTGCAGACTCGTATCAAAACTGTGCTTCTGTCAGCTCACCTCGGTAATATCTGTCGTCCAGCGCCATCCACAGGCAAAGCCTCTCTGAAGAACAGCGGTGGGTCCCCGGGCAGCTGGCCGGTACGAACGGACACGTTGGTGGTTGGAACAGGAGGCGAGGTGGCCATCAGCCCCAATCTTTGGGCTTCCAGAGACGGCTCCATGCTGCCCTGGCGAATGGATGGCAGCAGCAGGTACAGCAGTAACGTGGCTAACAGTACCAGGCCCAGAACAACGAGACGATTACGCAGGAAGTTCATTTTGTCAAGAGTAACCTCCTAGAAGAAATGGAAGAGAGCAGCGAGTGACGCCCAGTCATATACATCCTATTCATACAATATTTCTATTTGTTTTTAAAAGCTTAATAAAAAGCAACACATTTTACAAATCTGAGGTAGATGTGTTAAACTTGCTACCGATGAAATTGATACTGCAAATATTTAATCATATTGTTTTATTGCCTGTTGGGATACAAGGAACTAGAATCCTGGATTTGTGTCAACAGATGTTGTCACATCTCCAGATGTCAGAAATTGACTTTTATCATACCACCAAGAATGATGGCCAAAACAACAAAAAATTTGATACTGGTGCCATCAGGATGTGAGGTGGTTAATTAGATGAAAATCTTTGAGTTTCAAACTACAAAAAGCAAAAAATCTATTTTATAGACCTGTCATATCGACAGATCTCCAGATCCAGATGTCAGTGATGGACTTGATGGTTAAAAACTTATCATAACACAAAAGAAATAAGTGGTGGTTCAACAGAATATTTACAAGTGAAGGCTTCACTGGACAGTACAATCTTTGGTAAACCACTTTTGAAAATGCTAGTGAACTGTAACATTAAAAGGTCAATGAAAATGAATAGTTCCAATTTAATGCAGCTCTGCAGGGAAAATCAAAGAATCTAGAAAAGGGCCCGAAGTGGAATGATTTAAGGGAAAGTTAAGATCAAAGGATGAAAAATAAGTGACCTTGCCATGCAGAATAAAGTCAACTGATTAATGTTACTGAGTCAAAACATGCGAGAACACACACAAACACACCCAGACATGGACAAGGATTAGATATAGTACAGGAAATATTAGTGGGGGAAAGATTACTTCTTGTTTAAGGGTGAAAGACGGTGAACCTAATAGATAATAGGAACAATGGGTTCGGTTTAGAGATAAAGATCAGCTCTGAATGACACGACTGACAATGTAAACATCCTGGTAAAGGTGCATTACACGACAAACTGTGACGTGTACACGCTCTTTGCTTCTGTGGTTTCACAGGTTTATTTACCAACAATAAAGGCTGAGGAGACGACGACAGCTGAGTGCAAGGACACGCTGGACGTGTTGGAGGGACACATACCGACACACTGAAGACAGGCGGACACGATCAGTGGACGCGGGACGAGGCTGTCTGCTTCATCCTCTTCTGCACCGCTGCTCGCCACTGGTGGAAGTGTTGCAGGAAGGGTCGACGCTGCCGATCGTTAGCTCTGCAAAGCGACACACAGACAGAAACACTGGCGCGCGAAGCTAACTACGCGTGTGGCTGTTGAAACAAACACCGCCCGCACATCCGGTGTCCCTCAGGTGAAGAGACTGTGGGAAGTAAACAGCAGAGATGGAGTGACACACGAGAAGACGGAGGAATCTGTAGACTGTGTCGGCTCAGTGTTTAATCTGCCTCCGTCTTAACCCTCTGTTTCGCGTCGGAGCAATTTTCAAGGTGCACACGACCACAAGCAGCGTGCGTCATTTCCTTCTAAAGCTGCAATGTAACAACAACAGTCACATAATGAGAAGACATAGAAACATTAGATTCAATAATGGTCTCTCTCTCTCTTTCTATATATCTATAGCAATACAATGATACAATAATAAAGGGTTGCACCTGGATACACTGTATGGATGTATTGTAAAGCAGGAATAAAAGGAGGACAATACAATTATTTAAAATCAATTTTAATATTGAAATGTTTTTATGTAAAAATGAAATTATGAAATGCTTTTAAGTACAAAACCATTTGATAGTGCTCCAGTTTGGTTTCAAACAATAAAAGCTTTGCACTTTGGCAAAATAAGGCTTTTAAGGTCATTTTCTCGCTAACAATGAGACACAGCTGTTTCTATAATGGAGAGGTGGATGGTACAAGATCCTGATGTTCCCATGCATGTTGGATGGGATATATAATCTCTGCAGCAAATTCAGAGTCTCCTCCCATTTGAAAAAAAACAAAAAAACAATCAAGACAAACAAAAAGTGCCCAGGAGAAAGAGAGTGGTGACATAATTCTGAGGATTTGTGTCAAGCAGCAAGTTTAGCAACCAGCACTACACCCACAGGGTCCCTCAGGGGACACAGTCACATGCCTTCAGTCAAGTACACAATACACATGTGGAGTGGAAGGTCCAAATTTGCATTGCCCCTCCTAAAGCTGAGGTTCGAAAATTGGTCTGAGCCTCTTTTCCAGGACCCTGGAATAGACTTTCCAGGGGTGGCTGAGCGGTGCAAAATGTTAGTTTACTTCTGACTGGAGTGCATTTAAATGTATGCATTATATGTGAAGTGGGAATAGGAGAAAACTATTAGTGCAAATTCAAAGGTTGAAACACTATCCCAGTAAAATGGTTGGCAGTATAAGTTTAATGTCCTTTGAGTAAAAAGGCTGTAAAGCACAAAACAGTGTGGATGCTTAATGCACTTCTTCCTTTACCCTCATATTAAAATGTTAAGAGGTATCCATGGTATTTGCTTTTGGCATAATTGCTGGGCAACAACATCAATATGACACATGGGTGACACATTTCTTATATCTTTACAACATAAAACAGAGCTACTGTGTTACTGATCTTACACATCATATTAAAAGATAATGACAAATGAATTATTATTATTATTATTTTCACACTGCAACAGAGTTAAAGATCAACAACGGTTAAGATTCACAGCCAACACATCTCTGACATGAAACATTAAATGGAAAAAACATCGTTATATACTGTGATGTACTGCTTTCAGCAAAATTACACATTTTCACCTAATGCATAAGAATCAAGCTCAGATTCATTTCAACGGAAAATTAGTTAAAGTGCAGAATTTCAAAAGTCCAGCATACATAAACTGTTGTATTGCAATACTGGTTTTGTGTTTCTCCATTTTCCAGTTTGGGAAAGCCGTCAAACATATTACTTACTTCCCACCTCTTCTCTAATTTAGGTACCTTTATACTTCTTTGAGCACTGCCAGAATAAATACAAACAGCTACTGTATAAATATGAAACTGCTCTACTAGTTTTAGTCTAGTAAATATATTTACAAGTCTGAAGATGTACCCACAGTAGTTTCTATCAACACAGCATCACTGGCAGGAACCCAGACACAAGCTGCAATGCAGGCAAGTCAAGCTACACAAGACACACAATAAAACTGGTTATTGTGCACTGACTCTTATCAATACTGGATTTCTAAAGCTAATATTATATCTGATAACCACACATTAGCCAATATTCATTTCAGCATAAACACACTTTTTTTTATTTCCTTGCAAAAGTGTTGAGACCAAAATGGAAAACTAACATATTCTTGCATTTGATAATATGATACTGGTCGTATTTGATAGACCTCTTGTCGGTCCTCAAGAAAATTAAAAAATAAGGCCAATGGGATTGCAACCAATTACCAGCGAACTCTCCCATCCCATCAAATATTAACACTTGTCTTTTCTGCGCGTATTCACTGATCTGTCCAGCCTCTCTTTTTAATGCACATTTTGTTTACTTGTAAAAAAAAAAAAAAAAGAACTGGTAGGCAATATGGATACAGATATTAATTATATTAGCAAAGCATTGAGCCCAAAGGGGGCTGAGATGAAGACCACTGCACTAATGCACAACCCTCAATGATCACAATATGTAAACAAAAGTAAAAAAGCATTTGGAGGCGCAATTCTGAAAACTGAAACAGGCAGGTCCAGCCATGTTGTTTCAATGAGCCAAAGATAACCAAAGAGATTTCAGACATTTGCCACAATTTATCACAATCATAGTGTACTATTTATACGTCCATCTTAAGGCTAAGGGTAATAGCACTTGATTCATCAACGGATACAAACTATTAGGCAGCAATGTGAAAAGGCAAAATACCTAAAAGTACCATTTTGTTGCACCAACGACTAAAAAATATTGTATCTTGAGTAAATGTACCTTTGTTCCGCACATTTGGTTAGGCATCATGTTGTTGTGTTCATCATAAGAAAGTGCAGGTGGATTTAAAAAAAGTTAAGCTGTAATTGTTTCTGCAGGGACAGTCCAATCCGAAGGTCAGGGCCAGCATGGAGCATGGCAAAAGCCTTAAAGGTTCAGTGTGTAGAATTTAGTGACATCAAATGATGAAGTTGCATGTTGCAGCTGAATACCCCTCACCTCACCCTCCTCTTCCAAACATGAAAGAGAAGCCGATAGATCCTTTTCACCTCAATCTTACACACTGGACCTTTAAAATTGGATTTGATTTTTGACATAATTCAATGTAAGTTTATCAGCTGCAAAACTGATTGACGGACATAAGTTCCAGGAGGCGACCCAAGACTGGCGATCTCCCATTGCAGTGTCAGACAAAAACATTACTTTTAGATGGTCTGTGTGCCGGAATGAAAAGATCCTGTCATAGTGCGAGATGAGTGAGGATGGGATTTAACTGTCACTCGTGCAGGGTTACCTACCACCTTTACATCACAAAGTTTGAAATGTTCTTTTCAGAGCTGACAGATGCAGGTAAGGAGTTTGGGCTCCTGTGTTTCCTTAGTGTAGCAGAGTGAGGAGTCCTATTGGGAGTAGAAGGCAAAGAGGCCAGGTCCCGAAGACAGAGGAGGCTCTATTCTGCCCTTTTTCTTTCAGAGCACAAGCCTCGCCCCTGTACCCATGGTAGCACTGGCACTGGAAGTGTGTGCGGTAAAGTGTAAGCTCGGCTGGGCCAGGTGCTCCTGTAACCTTCAACTGGCCACCCTGACTGGTGATGCTGTGTGTTAAAGGGCTGAGGTGGAGGTACACGTCTCTGTCTTGTACTCTGCGGAGACAGCGGCCGTGGGACTTACACATCACCTGGCTGCAGTGCTCTGCTGCTGTCGACACATTGAGCAGGTACTGGCCCAGGAGTCCCTGAAGATACTTATTAAGGATGGAGCAGCTCTTCTGGAGATCAGAAAAATAAAGTTACACGCAAACCTCTAAACACTTAACTGCTCAGTATCAAACACATGCAGATATCTGGCATAGTGCATGAAATGCTTCCATTTATTTTTGAGCTGTACACTGTGCATTTTAAATTAATGAACAAATAAAGCTGTTTTCATACATGAACTCTGGAGAATGTCCGATCAATTGTGTTGGGGCTTTCTCTAGAATTTTCCTTTCACAACACAACAACACAGAAATCTCCGGAGCGTTTAAGTGAGTGGTGGCACAGCATGCAGGAAGCAGGATGTAACATATAAATCCCACTGCGGAGATCACATGTTTTTGTTTTGCTGCAGAGGATCTCCTGCTGCGGTCTCAAAAGGGCTCATGTGGACATTCTCCAGAGGTTTTACTAGGGAGCTGGCCAAGCAAATTCGTCTCACTCGGACATTTGCATTCTCACATACAGTCCCTCCGGATAATGTCAGGAGATTACCCGAGGTTCAGGGCATGTCTGAAAGCTTAAATTAAGTATAAAAACGAACAGAGGGGGTTCACTTACATCACTGCTTGCATAGGAGGTGTCCCCCCAGAAGATTATACCTGCAGCTCCAAGTGCAACACTCTCACCAATGGTGGAGACCAGATCCATCTACAAAACATTGACGTACACAGTTCAGTGGTGTATTCTACTACGAGCAAAAAACACACAAAAAAAACAGTGATGTGAAAACTAAAGATAACAGATAATGAAGCCTAATGTGCTTGATTAATTATTGAATTGGTGAACTAACCTCACTTAGAAGTGTCATCTCATTCATATACGTAGGTCGGGCATAAACAAAAACAGGATTCGCTAATCCATCCCCAACAGATGCCAGACGCATCGCCTCCTTCACTCTGTTCCGGACAAACAGACGCCCATAATTTGAAGAGCGTAGTACTGAACCCATGTATATGGATGGGAAGAATGCCGTACATTCCATCCACAACCAGTTCAGATGATTATTGCGTGTCATCTCCACTGAGGGGCAGCGGCCTGTGTAGTTTTTCAGTCCAGTCATGTAATCATGGTTGTAACAGTCTGGAAACAGGTAGAAGCCCCACAGTTGATTTGGCCTCAGACTCTTGGCAAATTTTAGAGTCTCCAGCATAAATTTACGAGCTGACAACTCAAATTCCTGCTGTGCAACTTTAGTCACTTGATCTGGGGTCCACTTAGGATTCATTTTGGCCAACATTTCACGAGATTTACTTCGATAAATATCTTTATTATCCCAATTTCGGATCCACAGTGGGCGCCACTCCTCCCAGTCAATAACAGCCAAGCCTTTTGCATCTGGTTCACGGATGTACTTCTGCACACCTCCGGGCATCTTTTCATAGTGCTGAGTGAGGCTGGCGAGCTGTGGAAGACCTCCATTCACTGCAGTGCCATCCCGCTTGTAATAAGGATACAAGCCGAGGCGCTCCTTGTAGAAAATTGTGAGATTCTGCCGGACAAAGCCTTCATTGGGAGACGCCACAATGTCGAACTGGTCCAGAGATAGAGTTACACGATGTCGCGGAGCACACTCCTGTGTTGGGGCATTCCAGGCAAGAAGAACTGGCTTGTGGGAATATAATGGCCATCTTGTCTGCTTCACGTCTGCTGAACATAGGACTGTCCATAATGTAAACAGAGTCAGAAGCAGCCAAGGCAGCTGGCCAGCTGCAGTGAAGGGAGAGTGAAATACAGCCTCCATGGTCACTTCTCTCCTTCTCTATTCTTGCTCTAAAAAAAAAAAAAGAGGCAGTTTTGTTCAATTCAGCCAAAATTAAAAACCACAAATTGTTCCAAATATATTTACAGATGATGATGATGCAGGGATCGGCACTTTTTCTAATAATGTCACAATAATTCAATACATGAAAAATAACATCTGTATGTGGACCTTCAGGTAATATTAACTGACTTTAAAGCAAAGTATTGATAGGGTACTTACTTAAAATAAATAGTTTGTGGATATCATTACTGTATAAACCTATGGTGCCCTTTTATATTATAACCTTTTATTATATGAAATAATTATCTGATATGCTTTTACTTGTGAGATTAGACTTTTTTAGGTCTCTTGTTAATTCAGTTTAATTTTACTGTTTGAATTTTTTATTTTATTTTTTAAAGATACATGTGATTGTTTGTATGTTTATGTTCTGACAGACATTTATTTATTGAGATAAAATAATAAAAAGTATGAATTATAGAAAAGAGGATCAGGGCTGATGGGTACCAGTGTTACCACGTATGCTTCAGTGATCAGCTTCCTGTTTGACACAAGTTCCATGAATCATGTTGCTCTAGAAATCAGTTTGGGGAAGTTCCTGTTGTTTAGAGAAACATAAATAGATAAAGAGGGTCAAATAAAACGCTCCTCTTCCCTGTGGCCTGCTTCTCTCAGACTCTTTGAAACTTGGCCACACGAGCTGAAAAGTGTCATTGAAAGTGAACGTGCTACGTTAGCTAGCGGCTCGTGTCCGCTTCCTGTTCTCAGTCTGACCTTTTCCGATGAGGAGGAGGGCGACGCGGGTTCGTTCCACTTCCACGCATGTAACCGTGGGATCGTTGACTTTTCCACGGCCCTGCCATGTGAAAACCACCGGCCGCGGTCCAGCTTCAGTCCATATCGGTGGAGGACGGCGGCTCCGGGCAGAGCTAACACCGAGCATCACTCAGACTGAGGGTTGAGCAACACCCGCCCGGCCAACCCCTCAGCCACCGAGGGGACGAGACTCATCGTTTACTTTAGCCTCCACATAAATTAATTATAACACTCACACAATTTAGACATTTAAAATATCATAACTCTGTTTTAATGTCGTCTTTCTATCCAGACATGTGTGTGGGGGGTGGGGGGGGTGGGGGGGTTAATAACATTCCAAGTGCCACTCGAACCCCCCCCTCAAATAAAGGCAGAGTAGACTGTCCCCCAAACACAGTCCTGTTACGTCACGCGTGTAATCAGAGCCCCGGTTTAAAAAGTGACTTCCTGTTTTTATCCCTGCAAAACCTTTTCCTGCAGCTGTTAAAAGCTCACTGATGTGCTCTGGTCTTTTTGTGGCAGTAGAACATGTCCGTCACTTGTTCTGGTCTCGTGCCCACGCTTCTGTTTGTCTGAACATTTATTACCAAATTCTTCCTGTTCTCCCTCTCCTATGAAATGTATTGTTTGGCCTTACTACACTTTACTACTCCAAAACTCATCAGTATTACGTTATTGATTTGATCCTATTACTTGCTAAATCACATATCCACCAATCTGAATTTTAATTGTTTGTTGAAAGAGTCAAACAAAAGATCAATTCAATACTAAAATTCCCAAACAAAGAAGCTCTGAAAACACTGAATTTATGTTCCATCTGCAATATTTGCACTGATTGAATTCCTGCTTGTCATAATCCCCTGACATTATTTGCTATGTTTTATGTTTGCTTTGTTAATCGTTAATTTTGCCAAAAGCATAAAATATAAAATAAAAGCAAACCTCCTTCATGCATTATTATTTATCTTATTCTATTTTGATTTACTAAAATTTCAGTCATTATTATTTGTTTGAACGTTTTACTTTGTTGACTTTTTGCCGTCTTAGTTTAATTTATTTTATGTTGCACTATACTTGGGCTGCAATACTCAAATGTCCCCCATGAAATCAATGTGATATGACGTTTATTATTCAGACTCAGGGTCCACAAAGAAGACAACACAATCACATAAGGGATTGAATTTAGATTATTTGAATCTTATGTGTAAGTAAGATTTATTGTAGTTGGTCAAAGCAGTGCCAACTATTCAATACATCTTTGAGAAACTCAATCTCAAGAAAACATGTTACAGAAACAGAGAATCTCCAGATCACTCACATCTTTCTTTTTTTTTAAAAAGCTCATAATATGAGTATTTAAAAAGAAGAGAGTCACTTTGTCTTGTGAGTTGTTTGCAGCTTTTTGATTCAAGCTTAAGTAAGAGTTAACAACACTTTTTATGAGTTAACAAGTCACACAGTTTAATTGGTAATAATGTGACTTTGTTTTTAAATCTGATGTTCCCGAATTATGTAACTTACCAGCAACCTCTTGCTCTCAGATGAATTGGGCTGTTGCAGATGATCGAGATCCGGATGCGTTCATCAGAAGGGAGCAACACAGTTGTTCGTACTGTGTGGAAATCCACCAGTGACCGGTCCTTTAAATATTCAGGAGACTCCACCTCTGTTTGAACTCGACTTTACAAACAAGTGTGTGAAGACTTGCCAACCTTTCATTTTCAATAGAGAGAGTGACTGTTGCTTCTCTGACATCATCAGAAATATTTAAAACCTAAACTGCTTGAAGTGGACAACTTTAATGTCACTAACAGGGCACACAAAATAATATTCTTAGTGTTTCGAGGCTTTTTTTCTGTTTATTAGCTATTTCAGATTAAGAGTGTGGAAGCAAAGACAGCACAGTAAATAGCTGATGATATCTTGACTGAAACAACAAACCTGCCATCGAATACACTAGAATTGCCTCAGAATTAAATAATTCATGTATTTAAAAGTCACATTTTGCTTGGTATCATAACTTTTTTTCTACTGTGACAGCAACCCACGTCACACTGCTGCTTTTTTCCTACTGTGCACTGGGTCTAAAGACAGGTTTAACTGAAACCTATGTGAAGTTGCGTCATTCTTAAAGACATGGTTATGACTCATGCATTCACAAATATAGTTTTCAAGAGCTGAGAAGGTAAATATAGCTTACTGATAAACTTTAGTTAAGTCATCGACCCTTTGTGACTAAACTAATGACTTTGAAAATAGCTTTTGTGAGATATCTGTTTGAACTTATGACAAATAAAGCACATTTAATTACTTTTATTGACAAGTCATATATTTTAAAACCATTTACTGCATTACACCATGAATAACTTTTAACCTTAAATATGCACTCACACCTCCTGACCTGTGGATTTCTCTGCTGAATGCTATGTTAATTCAACAGTTCCTTTTTGCCGCTGCTGTTTAGTCATTGGCAGGTTTCTAAAAAGAATGTAAAATAATTTACACATTCTAAGCTAATAAGATAAAAGATTAGTCTTAATAGAATCTCAAAACCTGCCCTGACTTTCATCAAAGCCAAACCATGGGCTGTTTGCTGAGTCAGATTTTTTTCCTTTAACCCTTATGCCACAATTCACCTCATGGCCTTGCATAATATTACAGTTCTGTGAAAGTAAACAACAAAAAGTAATTGTATCACCATGTCTCCCCCAGACTCAACTGATTTCAGCCAGAGGACTTGTGCAGGGTAAATTAATTTCATGGGAGCAATAAAGTGGAGTGGATTTTGGCACAGTCCTCTTTATCCTCTGAGCAGAACAATATCAGAGACAGCTTTACAGAAACCACTTTCTCATGGAGACATGGAGATTGATGGCCTCCACTTCTCTCAACATCATCCATTCTTCAATAACACACACGCATGCACACACTTCATCGGCAATCAGTGTTTCGCCTTTGCAATTTCCTCTGCAGGTGGTTAATGTCATCACAGGTGGAGGTCGGGAACATTATATCCACAGCATGGGCGTCCTGTCAGTTCTTTGTAGTGTTTACAACCTCTGACAATTACAAAAGACTCTTACAGCCATATTAAATATTTCTGATACAAAGACTCTAGAAAAAAACACATTAAATTCTGATGTAGCAGTTTTCTCACACTCGCTAC